TTTGTCCTAAGGATTTCGTTAATCGAATTAAAGATCCTTATGGGAGGTAATTCGTTAACCGTAATTTCGTTAATCGAACCATTCATTAACCGAGGAACCACTGTAGTATTATGTTGAAACTAACACTCATAAATCATATGTTTGACAGTTGATGCCAAGGTTTAGTGCTTATTTATTTATCTGTCCTTAAGAGTGACTTTAAGTTTTTCTCTTATAAAATGTCACAGAACTGACCTGGGAGAATATAATTAACATTTTTGGAATTCTTATAAGATAGTGATTAATTTGAATATAAACATGCTATAGTTCGCATTAGACATACAAATTTTAGTTCTAATTAAAGAATTTTATTAAAAGAGCAAAAAATTTATCTCTTGTGCAAAATATATGACGTTTATATTCAAATTATTCGTTGTCTTGCAAGGATTCCAGCAATGCAAATTATATTCTCCTAACTTTAGTCTGTGATATTATATAAGATAAAAATTTTAAGCCTAAACCACCAAACCCTGGCTGGGAATATGGGGGAGAGGGAGGGAGTGACAGTGACATGTTTGACAGTTGGCGCTGAAGGTCTAGTGAAGTATTTATTTGTTTATTTATGTCCTTTAGCTTGAGTTTTTGTTTTTGCTTATAAAATGTCACAGAAGTGACCAGGGAGAATATAATTTACATTGCTGGAATTCTTAAAAGATAGTAATTAATTTGAATACAAACATGCTATAGTTTGCGCTAGACAAATTTTTTTAAAATCATTTAGTACATTATTTTGAGTACATGTACAGTACAGCTTTGACCTTAGGACAGTGTTGCGTGCCCAGAGAAACATTAGGCACAAATTTTAAAATATGATGTGCCAGATTGATTCGCGTAAAATAGGAAAGATTCGCTTTATATTGAAACATTGTCCTTAATTGTGGGTGTCGCTTTAAATCAATAATCTTAAATTGACGTTCTACTGTAAATAGAAAACAAGGGGATAAATAAGCCTCAGTTCGTTGCTGTTAAAGTTTGGATCACGTGCTTTCTTGTTTTGTGAATCCATTGTTTTTATGATTCTGTTGATTCACAGCCATTACTGTGTGGCCGTAGTGTTGTGGTGAATGTGGTCTCCCATGTGTATTTCAAGTGTAGTGCTATTGCATAATAGACAGGACAGCTGCTCTGCGATTGGCTGAAGGGACCGTAAAATATTTGTAAAGTGTACTCTGATTGGTTGCCGGATGTCAGCTAATACAGCAGAATACAGTCTTGACCATGACTGTCTCGGCTACAACAATGCACGAGTTGACGGTCGGAATTTTTTCCTAAGATGGCAGGTCAATGGGTAAAGAAAATGCTTTAATTCACTATAGTTATGATATTTATAAATAAATTGAGCCAAAAAGAGTAAAAAATAAGGGTTAAAGTAGCTAAAAGGTCACTTGACTGCGAAAAGCGCTGTGATTGGTTGTGACGTCACTGACTAGTGCAAGCTGCAAAGCGGGAGCCTCGAGGCAGCCAGCTGGGGTGTATGTGTTGTTACCAGCAGAAATACAGGACTTGTGGCCATATACAGTACAGTGTCAATTCAATTCCAATTCAGAATACAATTTGAATTAATCGATTCCAATTCAATTCAATTCATTCGTAAAAAAAATTTCAATTCCAATTCAATTCAATTCACAAGCTTTTCAATTCCAATTCAATTCATTATGGTCTATATTTCATTCAATTCAATTCAAATGCTTTTCAATTCAAAATCAATTCTAATCTACCTTTAATCTAATGGAAAGAAATATCAACTTGATATATACTGTATAGGTATACCTTAATTTTAGGTTAAAATAAATTACTGGTCAAGTATCATCGTGTGTATTTACTTGCTGGGAGGCAAAATGATACAAAAGACCGATAACTCCAACATGGAAGTTTTCATCACTGTTCTCTATTTCATGTCTGGAAAATGTAAGTTTTCATCACTGATGTCTATATTTAATGTTGTGGAAGGACTAGGGACGACCAGGCCAGGGAATGGGGATGGGCTTGAGATGATCAGCTGACAGATGTAATTTAACGTGCTTCATAGTTGGATGGCCGAGTTCTTGATAATACTCTACTATCATAAAGACATCTACTTTTGGTAAATTTTTTCACCTGCCTTGATGAACCTTGGAAGTAGTTGTCCAACCTTCTCGGCTGATCGGCTCTGTAAATAAATATTATGAGATAATTAATTGTGTTTTACTGTGCAACACAGTAACATTATTTTGAAAACTGTATATAAATACAGGTACACCACCGATTTTCCGGGAACTGGTGGTCCGGCACCTCCTTTAGTCCGGACAAATTATGAGGGGGCACTTAACTTCCCTCCCTCCCTCCCTCCCTCCCAGCCAGGGTGAAGCTAGTTTTAGGCTTAAAGTGTTTATCTTATAATATGTAGCTGACTAAACTTAGCAGAATATAAATTGCATTGCTGGAATCCTTGTAAGATGGTGATTAATTTGAGTATAAACATCACATAGTTTGCACAAGAGATAAAAATTTTTGTCTAGTGTAGTACATTGAGTACAAAGTGTGTACAGTTATGTTGCTCAAAATTATGGCTTTTTCACATTTAATTTACATATAATATTTGTTTAAGTTAAGTTTCTAGCAGTCCACGGTGCTTCAGAAACACAGGTGTATAATTAGTGGGTCAGAGGTGTACAGTATTGTTGAATAATTATTACCTGACCTCAGTTGGTCTGGCAAAACAGATAATCCGGCAAGGCTTTGGAACCAAGGGTGCTGGAAAATCGGTGGTGGACCTGTATTACTGAGCACATTAACTAATTCAATGGATATTAGCTGCCCATACTACAAATTTCATAGTACAGGTATAAACATTCCAAACAATATTGGTATTATTTTGGTTTTGGTCATCTGGGGAACCTTAAGATTCTAACTATGGGATTAAGTACAGGCATCCCCCGCGTTACGGAAGCCCGGGTTACGGAATTTCGCTCCTACGGAATTTGTAAATTATGACCAATAATTTCGCGTTACGGCCCGTAAATCCGCCCTTACGGAAATTGGGGTAAATTTTAACAATTTAAAAAAAACACTGTAAAATTATAATTTGTTGTTAAAAATTATATTTTGTTTTGTGTGGATTTCTTGGTGTTTGCTACCGCCAAGCGTGGCATCACCACGAGGAGTCAGTCCATTGTTTACATCCAGTGTGCACGCATGTTTCTCCCCCAGCAATTGGATTTAACTTTTACAAACATACAGTAAGTACAGTATAGTGCATTACCCTTATTCAAGATGACTGGAAAGAGGCCATCAAGTGTTTTAAGAAGGTATATAATAAATTATTTAATGTACTGTTTTGTATGTGTTTATAAATGTTTATTTTTATTAATAAAAGTGCTTGAATTACTTTTTGGGGGCCGAAAAAATTCCTTAGGAACGCATCTCCAGTTTTATACTGGAAGTCAATGGGAAAATAGGTTTCGCGTTACAATAAGACAAATTATCTCTACGGGATTTCTGACGCAAAATATTTTTCGATCGCTTAAGAAAATACAGGTCATAGGTTAGGTTAGGGTATAGTATGATGATTTTATAAGGTTAGTTTAACATGCATCAGTAAGGGAGGTAGTAACTCAAAACTAGTGATTTCCGATAGAAATGAAGGTCTAAATCATTCATAACACATCACAAACCATCAGAGAAAACAGGTCTGCATTTCTAAGTACAGGGATGACGAAAACTTAAAATTTACCCAATATAACCTATCTCGAATCTAAGCATCCAAATACTTATGGTAGTTAAAGTAAAATTTTACCATTAATTAATATAAATGATGATATATCCCACTAGTTCATAAGTGAATCATCAAAACAATAACAGCACTATGTTGTCATGTTTACCTAACATCAGGCATTCTCAAAACAAAGTTCAGACAATGTCATTACTTCTAAATTGACTCGTATCTCCATCCGAGTGTCGTCTGCAGGGTAAGTGGTGACGTCATTGCAAATAGCGGCCCTGTTTCTAGAGAAATAACATATCTCGACTAATATAGCAGGACTTTAAACTTTTATTACAAATTATATATACCGTATCACTCTACGAACGTGGCAGAGTGTATTTCTTGTGTTTAGCCAGAACCGTCAACTCGTCCATTGTAAGTTCAGTTTCAGCATATAAACTTAAGTTTTCACTTAGCCCTCACTTAAAATTTTGAGCAAAGTGAGCTTTCACGGCAGACTTAAGTCAGGCGTGAGTGCATCCGGGCCCTGGAGGAACACTGTGTATAGTCATGTCCTATATACTTAGGTTACTATCAGTTTATTTATTTTATTGTTACACTAGTAGTATGGTATTCTAGTGCCCTGTTGTTTTCTCACTCATGTTGTTGTAGTATCAATTAATCCATTTTTCCTTGTATACAGTATACAGCTAGACCCCGACTTACGACGGGGTTAGGGACCCAAATCCAGGTCGTAAGGAATGGATACAGTACAGTGAAAGTAATAAATAATGAGGAATGGATACAGTGTGACTGAGCACTTACCTTTAATGTAGTCAGCTGAATGCACATGGGGCCCCCATAATTTTCTAATTATACATGGAGACTACATTAACTGGAAACGTTTCGGTATAGAAAATGCGTGTCATTTTAAAAAAAAATGGTCACAACTGCGGCGGTCGTAAGTCGAAGCAGTCGTAAGTCGGAGTCTAGCTGTACTGTACTGTACTGTAGTTGTACACTATCAACCATATGCATTACTATACATTACTGACTGACAAAGGCTGTGTTGCTTGACTAAGTAAAAGCACATAAACAAGAATGTCCCGGACTTGATCATGAGTGCAGGATGGTTTTCTCACTTTGTCAGTCAGTTAAGATTAGCACTCAAAGAGCTGTACGTATAGTACAGTGTAATGAAGACAGAAACAGCTTCAGTAGTTTTATGTAAAGTAACTTTAGATGGTAGATGTATAAAGATTAATAATTTTTATTACAGGTTGAACTTCGTGGTGCTCCTTATGCCAGGGACAAATCAACCATTAAGCGACTGCAGATGTACCGTTCTGGGAAACCTAAGCGTAACAAACATGGCAAGATTATAAAGGCTGCAATATTTCAGAACAGAGTTAGTCCAGGTTAGTGTGTATGGATTGTAAATACAGTACTATAACTTACATAATTTTTAATAAACTGTAGTATTAAGGATCTTAGTGTATACCTTAATAAACTGTAGTATTAAGGATCTTCTTGTATACCTTCTGAGACAGTCATTTCAACATTACAGTACATTTGCTTCTCATTGCAAGTAAATGGTGATTGCCTTATAAAGAAGTCATACTAACATGGAGAATTCTCAGTAAAATTGTGATGTGTTGTTTCTGTTTGTAATAAACTTGAACATTGACATATTTATTTTTAAATGATTAGTAATTGAAATGTTATGCTTTGATTCAACTTGATAAAATTAAGATGGATTATTAAGTATGTACAGGTATGGGTGAGTGGTGTTCGAGTGGGTACAGTGCTCGCCTCCTGTTCCGTGGGTTGTTAGTTTGACTCCCAGGCACTCTCAGTTCACCTAGCTGTAAATGGGTACCTAAGTGAATGCAGTCGAGAGCATTACTGGCCATGCTGCCTCCCTGTGTCCTGAAGACTTGGTATACAGTGTGCTGAATCCACACTGTCCCTAAGGGCATTCATGCCTATGGGACCTACTTTCACTTTTCACTATGGGATTGTTTATCTGGCGTCCCAGTATTCAGAGCGTTTCAAAAGTCAGTTATGGACTGGAATGAATTAAATATGATGAGCACCAAGTAATTCCCGGGTCATACAGGTAAAGTTCCAATTATTTACCTCTTGTGAACTGTAATATGTTATGGTTATTTTTCAATTTGTAATTTTTTTTAGATGTATTCTTTCTTTTTTTTTTCCCACTCAGTTATATACACACACAATCCTGCGTACAAAATGTGCATAAAAAATAAGTCTCATAAGATGTAAAGTGTTTTTCAACTTGTGATTTCAGGTACCTGTACCCTACAGTCTCGGACAAAGGTTCGCTCCCCATGGTGAAACTGAGTCACGGGAATGAGTCTCCGAACTGACTTGCCCTAACTGTTGTATCTCATTTTGGGTCGATGCTGCTTCATTTTTGGGGAGAGTGAATTTTTTACCCCGACTGTACAGTACTTTTTTTTCTCAATTACATTCTCACAGTCCTACATAAAAAAAAATCATAAGGTGTAAAGTTTTAATTATCCAAGGGTTTCCACTGTGAAGCCCTGTGGTGAGTGTGTGGAGGACAGAGGGTTGGTGGCGCAGAACACCGTTACTAAGGAAGCCAGTAAGGCAACGTCCCAGCTGGGCTGGTTGCTACTAAGGCGAGCTTCGGGGTGGCCATTGTCTCAGAGAACTACAATGCAGTGTATACACTAACTTGTATTATTTTTTTTCTTATATGCTTTTGTTGTAACTGTTTGTGTGCCTATAATTTTAAGTTTTAATGTTACTGTACAGTCATCCCTTGGTTATAGCGCACTTGGTTATTGCGATTTTCGTTATCACGCCTCCATCAAAATCTGCACACCTGCTGTTATAGAGCATTTTTCAAGCCGAGAATTTTGATATCACACAGTTGCCTCCAGGTGTATTGTTACCCCCTTGCTTCACTTACATCTATTGAGGATAAAATCTTTCACCTACAAATTGACAATAACACATTTGCTGTAATCAGACATATCTAAGTTGCAATTTCAAATTCTGTGTCGTTATATTAAGGAATAACGAAGTTTCGGGTGCACTCTAAAATTGAGAGAAAACAGAGGACTCAGGTGTCCTGAAGTGATGAGAAAACGGACTCCTCAGATGGGGGACTCAAATAAAGAAAGCATAGGTACATGTTTTGTGGACTACGTATTGAGCGTACCCTTTTCATCACTTTGTAATAAACCTAGCCATGCCTATGTGTGTTTCTGATACTTACCATAACATTATATATATCTTTAGTGGGTCTAAATGGTCGTAAAATGGGAAAATTGGGGTTGGGTCTTGGGTACCTGGAACCAATTAGAGTAAATCCCATAGGTTCTGTACTTTCGTTATCGCATTTTTCGTTATCACACACTCGGCGCTGTCCCAATTAGGCGTGATAACCAAGGGATAACTGTATAGTACATTTTGAGGGGGGGGGGACATTTATGATAACCCCCAGGTCTCAAACATGCTGGATAAATGGTCCCATACCTGTATGTAGACTACAGTAAAAGAAAAAAAAAGAGAAGAAAAATCATGTATTTTTTGTGGGAATATTTTCTGCTGGCAATATGATACATCTACACTTTGTTCAGAACTGCCCAAAATCATAAAGTCCTCAACAATTTGACTGAAATTCATATAACTTTATGTTGTACAGAAGAAACTCGTAATCAACATTTAATTGTGTTTTTCTTTCATTATTTTACAGTGTATCTGATGCATACACAAGGCTAATTTCATTCTGCGTCTTTTCTTCCCTGAAGGTTTTAGTGTTCTTTCTTGTTGCTGTAAGAAATTGTTCCTTACTGAAGGCCTTAGAAATCCACCTGTACAAAGTCTTACCTGCCATAACTTGTCAATATACTAGAGGTTGGGTATCCCTTATCTGAAATTCCCAAGTCCAAAATGCTCTGAAATCAGAAAGTCTGTTTCATTATATTTATGGTAGATAATACACTGAATATGGCACATATCATAATTTTTACTAGGGTAAGTATGTATGTGTAATAAATAATGGTAAGACACAGGCTGCTTAGCTTCTCAAGGTCAGGCGTCATGGCGATGCCAAACAGACAGTAGTGAGTGCTTACCTTTCTGGGTCTTTAGTGTACATCTTATCATATATTTTATACCCAAAATGATTAAATTATATTTCATAAAACTACCTGCAGAATATATGCATCTAAATGCTGTAAATGAAATATAAATGAATTTTGTGCTTAGACTTGGGCCCCATTCTTGCTGGGTGAGCTACCCCATTATACAGATTCATTATACAGGATATAGGTATTCCAAAATTCGAAAATATCCCAAATCTGATACCCTTAAGGCCCCAAGCATTTTGGATAAAGGATATCCAACCTGTATTGACAAGTCCTCGATATATGCGAGTTCAGCATATACGAATTCACTCATATGCAAAGACCCTATTCCTACCTGGAATTCAACTAATGAGAGCAAAATTCTGCCTTATGTGAGATGTCATACTCCCTGATATGGATTCCGACCCTGATGACTCTGCAGATGTCACTCCAACACCATCACACACTATGTAAAACCTCTACCAACACCTCCATCAGCTTGTCTATCCAAGTTGATGTATCTGCTTTTATTGTTTAGTACACTGTAATGTACGCTTGCTTTATCTATTATTTTAAAAATAATATTGTATTTATTTTTCTTGAAAATGGATCTGGAATATTTTCATTTTGGGTTATGGAACACATCCTATTTTTTCCCATTTAACTAAGTATTTGATTTATGTTATTTCAATTTATGTGAGGGTTTTCAGGAACACGCCCCACGCATATATCGAGGACTTATTGTACCAGCTAAAATGTGAGACCTTAGCCGTACAAACCTCAACCCAATTTGGTGATTATTTCTGCCTGCTTTTGCTTTGTAACATTTGTGTACTGTGGAAACTTAAAGTTTCTCCTCCATAACCATAGTGTTGGAATAATAACTCTTTCTTGTAAGTTTCTTACACATGTTTCTCAAGCTGTCCTCTCATTTACCATGACTCATCTGGCACCTATAATTTTTTTCCTCTGTAGGATTCTTCTCAAACTCTTTTTATTGCAACCTTTATAAGTGTTTCTCGCTCAAATAAAACTCATGTGCGTGTGATTGAAAGATACCTTCCCAACAGGTACCCAGGCACGTGTTGAACCTAACCAGCGTTGGTTTGGAAACACCAAGGTGATTGGCCAGAAAGCTCTACAAACCTTTCAAGAAGAAATGGGTAAAGTCATGAAGGACCCATATCAGGTGAGCCACATACTGTACTGTATTTGTCTATTGTAACAATGTAATCAAGAAGGCAATAAAAGACAAGTCAGCTTGGAAAGACAAAATGATTGGATGGATATTTGTCATGGTTTTGGTTTTCGGAGTGGTCATATGAGTGGATTTTATAAAGATTATAATATGTTGCGTTTCTTATTTCTTAACTTAGAATTCGATACCTTCACACTGGTTACTTACAGGAGATTATGGCGTATCTACGTAGAAGTTCACTCCACTACTTGACATTCCATGATTTATACTTGATAAATGATGATTTAATGAATTCCATTAACTTCCAACATCCATCTAAGTTATTGGTTATACTTTGTCATAACCAATCAGTCATTACCTTTGGTAATAATACGATAGGATCACAGATATGGGCAGATAATTGCACTTACATTTATTTGTCAAGTTTCCATACAATGATTTACAATTTGCATGGATATATGAGTCACTCACGTTCACGCTGTACAGTGACCCCTTGGTTAACGAACTCAATCCGTTCCAGAAGGTCGTTCGTTAACCGAAAAGTTTGTTAACCGAAACCATTGTTTCAATGGGTTTTTGGGTAATTGGTTCCAGCTCACCGAAAATTGCCTAAATTCAACAAAAATGGTAGAAAAGTTCACTTACTTTGAGGTGTGTATGTAGAAGGCTCCTGGATGATGATGATGATGATGGGAAATCGAATGGGGGTGGAAGAGAAGTCACCCCATGGCACCATTTCACCCATAAAATTTTAGTTCTCTTGGTGTATTTCAAGATTATTTTCTTTAAATCAACACTGCACTGCATTATATATTGTCAATATGTAAAATATATTTCAAAATGACCAATAATTTGCTTGGAAACACAGAAAAAAAAGCATTTAGTTGAAGAGAGTCTCAAGCAAGATGTTACCTCCAGTGAAAACAGAGAGAGACTAACTCCTGTTTGCTGTGTTAAGAAGCTGGATGCCGCGCATTAAACTAGTCACTTTACCTTCAATTATGTTCAATAATTGTTAAAATGACTAGAAAATTGAATATTAAACTTTTAAAATTATTGAATAGTATAAACTTCTTGATATTTACTAAAATAGTAAGGAATTTAAGCCCTAGAACCGATTAATGTATTGGCGGACTGATACTTAAGCTGGTTGCCCGGTCAGTGCAAGCGAAAACATGTTGAGGTCGGTTCGTAAGAAATTCGTTAACCGAATTTTTGTTCGTTAACCGAATTGAAGATCCTTATGGAAGGCAGTTCGTTAACCGAAATTTCGTTAACCGAGGCGTTCGTTAAACGAGGGGTCACTGTAATAAAATTAATCTTCTAAAAGAGGGAATTTTCAACTTGGGAACACATGTGCTTACTCTACTATGGGTATGACTTAACAGAGCCTTAATTCTTCAAGTGATATATTTACTGTCAGCCTGGATTGCTTTTGTTGCAACCAGGCTTCCGCACAAGAACTTCTTTCCCCGGGCAATAACAACAAAAAGTACTCTTGGGTTACCACACATAGTCTCTTGTCACTGACAGTCACTGTAGATGGTTGTAGCAGCAAGGAGAACTGGTAAGCGTGACTTGAATTAACCACTTACTGTAGGTGCAATAGACCAGCCTGGATTGCTTTTGTCGCAATGATATTTCCACGGGGATAAGAAACCTAGGTTAACACACTTAGTCTCGTGTCGATCACGGTCACTGTAGATGGGTGTCGTGCAGGAGAACTCTAAGCGTGAATTAATTAACCATTTACTGTAGGTTTGATAGGCCAGCCTGGATTGCTCTTGTCGCAACCAGGCTTTCACATGTGATATTTCCACGGGGATAAACCTAGGTTAACACACTTTAGTCTCGTGTCGATCACGGTCACTGTAGACGGGAGTCGTGCAGGAGAACTCTAAGCATGAATTGATTACCGTAACCATTTACTGTAGGTTTGATAGGCCAGCCTGGATTGCTCTTGTTGCAACCAGGCATCCACACGTGATATTTCCACGGGGATAACAACCTAAGTTAACACACTTAGTCTTGTGTCGACGACGGTCCACAGGACGGAGTGGCAGTGGAGGACTGTGTGGTGTGGTGTCCCGCTCCCTTTCAGGAGGGAGAGGATGGGAACGACTTCTTAACTAAGCCATGGCCAAGGGGATACTACTTAAAATGAGGTTTTTGGGTGTGAAGCGATGAACAGTGCAACACTGTTTCACTGCCCCCCCCCCCAAAGGCTGGCTAACATACCACTAATGGAAAATATATGTCCCAGTTATGCCTCGCCGGGTGCCTTATCTCTAGTAAAACAAACTTTGGAATTGGTTGCGTGGGTAAGCCTAACGCAACCCATGACAATATTGATACAGAGATGAAGCAACTAAAATTGAGGACAAGTGAATATGACGGTAAAGTGATAACAAGCAGTGTGTGTGTGTGTGTGTGTAATCCTGCATAGGCACAGAATTACCCCCATACTGAAAACACTGTAAGCTTGGATCATGAAAATTAACTGGAAAAATAGAATTGAGGTCTGGAGAGTAAATATTTACTGGTGATTGAGTCTGAAACAGTACTGTTGGTGTGACCTTGTGTTTACACCTGGGTGTTCATGCTGTGTGTCTGAGAGCTTCAACTGAAACGTGTATTTAATGTAGCATTAGTCTTGATGATGGTTGCCATTAAAGAGTTCCTATTTAGTAGTCCATACAGATATGATGAGTTGGGTGACAGGATTGCCTTCTGTCTAATTTTCTGCATGTTTTAGTCATATGTCTGTCGACCATTTTTTTAAACACTCGGGGCAGCAAGCCCGAAGAGCAATCCCTAATGTCGGGTTACCAAACGGTAACCCGACAAATGGATTCTTCAAACTCGAATATCAATCCCGAACGCTGCAACTCGAGAGGGTTGGTACGCCTTATCCAAGATAAATGAAAATAAACAGGTCATTCGCATTGCTATTACAGAGAATTTCCTTAAGAAATTTGTCCCTTGTATATTTAACTTTTGTTTATTGTTGTTCCAGTGATGTAAGATAGGACTGACACTATTTAAATCGAGTGATTGAAAACATCATTAATCAATTTTGGTACTGTACTTTTTTCTAACCGTGAGTTTGAACATTTCTTAAAAAAAATGTTTTACATAACCTAATCTAAACTTACAAATATTAGTAGTACCTAAACACAACCGGAACAACAACAACCCAAACAGTGAAATATAGCAGGAGAATTTTTTTTCTTGTGTAATTATCAGCGTGGGTCACAGATGACACTTGTTGTAAACTATTACCTCAGCATCTACCTAGTACATTTGGCTCTCTTATATCTTCCCTATACAGGTACAATACATTGGCGAATTGGAAATTGCATTACATCTATCTATCACAAATAAAAGTGCATTACTTACCATACTTGAAGCTATAAGAGGATGATTGTAGGAATGCAATGCTTGATAAAATTGGAGAAGGGCGATGTGGAGACGAAAAATATTCGGAGTTGAAGGTACGACGTCACGAGGGTACATGGCGGTCTCTTAAAAATACAGTCATGCGCCGGTTAACGTCCGACCGAACAACGTCCGATCGCAGATGCGTCGTGCCCCAAAAAGTGACGCCTGCTGGACCACCACTCCACGACCCCCTGACGGAGACGCGATGATCCTCCCCATACTGGTCAGATATTATGTGTTAAAGGAATATGCTTCCTTACTTAGGCTTTTTTTAAGCATTTGCCTACAGGTGAAATGTTAACCTACATCTATTGAGGATAAAATCTTTCACTTACAAATTAACAATAACACATTTGCTGTAATCAGACATATCTAGTTGCCTCAACAATTGCAACCCCAGTTGCAATTGGGGTTGCAGTTTCAAATTCTGTGGCATTACTAAAAATAGTAAAGTTTCTGGTGCACTCTAAGATTAAGAGAGAAAACGGAGGACTCAGGCGTCCTGATGCGAGAGAAAACGGACTCGTATGACGGGACCAAATAAAAAAGCATAGCTACATGTTTTGTGGACTACAGTATTAAGCGTACCCTTTTCATCACTTTGTAATAAACCTAGCCATGCCTATGTGTGTTTATGATATTTACCATAACATTACAGTGGTACCTCGGTTAACGAACTCAATCCGTTCCAGCAGGTTGTTCGTTAACTGAAAAGTTCGTTAACCGAAACCATTGTTTCAATGGGTTTTTGGGTAATTGGTTCCAGCTCACCGAAAATTTCCTAAATTCAACAAAAATGGTAGAAAAGTTCACTTACTTTGAGGTGTGTATGTAGAAGGCACCTGGATGATGATGATGATGGGAATTAGAATGGGGGTGGAGGAGAAGGAAGAAGAGAAGGCATTGGGGTGGAAGAGAAGTCACCCCATGGCACCATTTCACCCATAAAATTTTAGTTCTCTTGGTGTATTTCAAGATTATTTTCTTTAAATCAACACTGCACTGCATTATATATTGTCAATATGTAAAATATATTTCAAAATGACCAATAATTTGCTTGGAAACACAGAAAAAAAGCGTTTAGTTAAAGAGAGTCTCAAGCAAGATGTTACCTCCAGTGAAAACAGAGAGAGACTAACGCCTGTTTGCTGTGTTAAGAGGCTGGATGCCGCGCATTAAACTACCGTATATCTCGGCCTATAAGGCGTCGGGGTGCATAAGAATGCCCCCCCAAATTTCCATCTAAAAAGTAGCTTTTGAGCTCTATTCGCTGTATAAGACCAGTACCCCAAATGTGACACTTACCCACTGACTAAGTAGTCCTTTACCAACCATCCTTGGTTTTTTAAAATAAGGCCAATTCACTTCAAGTAATGTCATCAAATGTTACCCGCTGGTGTAGTGTAAACACTAGTGACGTCACTGAAGCGTCTGCTATTTACCGGTAACTGGAACTAATGTCTGTGTCGAGTAAAATTTTTCCATTTACTTGAAATATATATATATATATATGTATATATGTATACAGTGACCCCTCCGTTAACGAACTC